GGGGCAGGATGAGGGGTAAGGATGTGGGGTGTGGGGTAGGATATGAGGGGAATGTGGGAGGGATGTGGGATGCGTGGCAGAATTTGGGGCGGGATGAGGGGTGGGATGTAGGGTGGAATATGGGTGGGATGAAAGATGCGGGATGTGAGCAGGATGCAGGGCAGGATATGGGTGGGATAAGGGGCAGGATGAGGGGTAAGGATGTGAGGGGTAGGATATGAAGGGAATGTGGGCGGGATGTGGGATGCGGGGCAGAAATTTGGGGTGGGATGTAGGGTGGAATACAAGTGGGGTGCGAGATATAGGATATAGGTGGGATTCAGGGCAGGATATAGGTGGGATAAGGGGCAGGATGTGGGGTGCAGAGTAGGATATAAGGAGAAGGTGGGCGGGATGTGGGATGCGGAGCAGGAATTTGGGGCGGGATGCGGGGAGGGATGTAGGGTGGAATACGAGTGGGATGAAAGATGTGGGATGTGGGTGGGATGCAGGGCAGGATATGGGTGGGATAAGGGGCAGGATCAGGGGTAAGGATGTGGGGTGCGGGGTAGGATATGGGGGGAATGTGGGCGGGATGTGGGATGCGGGGCAGAATTTGGGGCGGGATGCGGGGTGGGATGTAGGGTGGAATACGAGTGGGGTGCGAGATATAGGATATAGGTGGGATTCAGGGCAGGATATGGGTGGGATAAGGGGCAGGATGACGGGTAAGGATGTGGGGTGCGGGTAGGATATGAGGGGAATGTGGGCGGGATGCGGGGCAGAATTTGGGGAGGGATGCGGGGTGGGATGTAGGGTGGGATGAAAGATGTGGGATGTGGGCGGGATGCAGGGCATTATATGGGTGGGATAAGGGGCAGGATGAGGGTTAAGGATGTGGGGTGTGGAGTAGGATATGAGGGGAATGTGGGCGGGATGCGGGGCAGAATTTGGGGCAGGATGTGGGATGTAGGGTGGAATACGAGTGGGGTGAAAGATATAGGATATAGGTGGGATTCAGGGCAGGATATGGGTGGGATAAGGGGCAGGATGAGGGGTAAGGAGTAGGGTAGAAGGTGGGGCAGGATGGGAATGTGGATGCGGAGGCGGAATTTGGGGCGGGATGCGGGTTGGGATGTAGGGTGGAATACGAGTGGGGTGCGAGATATAGGATATAGGTGGGATTCAGGGCAGGATATGGGTGGGATAAGGGGCAGGATGAGGGGCAAGATGCGGGGAAGGATGTGGGGCAGGATGTGGGCGGGATGTGGGATGAGCGATGCGTGATGTGGATGGGATTTAGGGTGGGATACAGGGCAAGATGAAGGATGTAGGATGTGGGGTGAAGGATTTGGGGCAGGRAGCAGGCAGAGGTGCCTCGGCACAGTGCTGGGATTCACAAGGGAGAGAGGGGAGATGGACCAGCATCCCCTCCTGCCCCCACCCTGTCCCTCCCCATTAATGATGGAGATGCTGTGAGAAGAACTGCAGACCCCCAGAGTGCTGTGAAAGTGACCCAAAATGGACAATTTCACCGAGTTTTTTTCTCCACCGTCATGTTTTCAAGGTGTTTGTTTCCACAGCACCGTTCTTTGGGGTTGTTTACTTGTTTTATTTCCAGCAGGTTCGACCTGAGAGACTCCAGCCCGTCTACACCCTGTGCTATGGGGTCAGGAGTCTTTTAAAAGCTCTATTTTTGGTTTAGGGGCCCTCTTTTTGGTTTATTAGGCAGAGTAAACCAAAAGAAAAATCAAAAAACATCCCACAAAGTGAACCTGTGTGGCTTTTCATTGTATTTTTTTCCATTAATAAGTCGGACACTGGTAACTAAGGGAATGAAACTTTGAAGAATGTTAACATCAAACCATCTGGCCAATCTTGAAATCAATTCTGGCACCTTATGGTGGTTTGAAGACCAGCTAACAGAGTGGTTTTGGGGTGCTGGAGATCAAGATTTATCTGTGGAAAGTTCATTTTTTTCCTTGCTTTTCCTTCAGGCCTCCAAAACTGAGCATTCCTGAGCTGGGCTAGAGCAGCATCGTTTTGGGGCAAAATAGGTGTTTCCATGTATTAAGTTCTAGTTGAGAAGTTACTATTTTGTTGAGCAAAGGCTTGGGTTCAAAAAGAGCAGAAATATTAATTATGAGGGGTTTTTGKTTTTTTTATGAGATAGATGCAATTCTGCAGGAGTTTTGGGTTAAAACCAAAAGCTCTGCTCAGCATTGGCGTCTCTAAGGAACTCGCCTGATTAACGCTCAACAAAGGTTTAAAAAAACCCCGATTTCACACAGTTCCGACACTTTTGGAGGCTTAATCTGCATATCTTGATAGTGATGGCTCTGTGGAGGGTTTTTGGGAGGTTGGAATTGACTCCAGCTCAAGAGCTGCTCCACGTGCTGAGCGCTGTTCCGTCATTTTCGGGAAGCCTTAAGCAACCCTATCTATAACAACCATCAAGGATGTTTATTGCCTTTCTTCCAAGAGTAGTTTAGAGGTTTTGTTTTTTTTTTATCCCCCTCCCAGTGTCTGCACCATGAAAGGGTGCAGAGTGAAAGCTGTT